TTCCAATCCAGGCCATTCTGGGATCCTGTGTTTTCAGCCCCTGGTTAGTGCCAGGCCGTGCAGATCCCGGACGCTCTGTCCCAGCGCAGGGAGCGCCCCGCACGCAGCAGCAGCAGCAGGATCAGAGTCTTTTGCCCACATCCAGTCTCACCCCATCTTCCTTTGCATAGCTCAGCTGTAGCCTGGGATCTGAACACGATGCTCTGCACTTCAAACACTTCTTAGATCTTAAGGATTATTTATTTGAATAAATAATTATAAAAATAGGAAATTCTGAATATAAAAAGTGCTTGTACAAAAACCCCATGAACTACCCCAGCTTTACATTAATACAAACAAATCTTTGATGCAGTAAAACAGTCTGATGTTGCACACAGCTCTTCATTTAAAAAACAAGGCTGGAACGGAGCAGTTATTGCAAAATCATGGAAATAGACACATTGAACACCAAATAGAAATAGAAACCTGACAGCATTCTGTTGGTCTTAAACTGGACAGAAGGGTGAGTGAGTGGTGGGTGTTTATGTTCCTATTGAAAGGGACCCTCACAGGGCTGCCCTGGGCCTCTGCGTCAGTAGGAACCGGCTGCCCAAACCCCAGAGCTCGGCTCTCCAGCTACACACAAAACTCAATTCAACTGGGATAAATCAGGTCCTGCCCTACTAAAGTCAGAGAAATTACCACTGGGGTCTGTCTGAAAACACAAATGAGAGCAGAGGAGAAACCGTGTCCTCGCACACGCCGTGTCTGTGCGGAGGCAGAAACGAGTCCGTTCTGCATTGCCCTGATTATTTCTGTGTCACTTTGGTTGTATGTTGCTGCTGTGCCATGAAAACTCTCATCTTCTCAACAGCGTGTAGCTAGATAATTCTGTCTATTCTGTGCTGGGAATGAATATTTATTATCGATCCCTGATGAACAGCAGAGCATTAAGTGGTTTTGCTGAATCATCTCTTGCCTTTGCCCATAAATAAGCTGAGTGATGAGATAGGGTAACACAGCTGCTAGACAGGACATTGTACCTCCCGCTCAGGGAGACCTCTGCCCCTCAGAAATGTGTACTTTAAACACAGGAAAGTTTTACAGGATCTTTATATGCAGAAGAATGAAATATTTGCAATAGAAAACCACTCTTTTATAGAAGAAGTGTGCTGAAGACTGCTGGGGTTTAGCTGACGAAGGCAGCGATGGCTGTGACCTTTAGCACTGACTCAAGCCCATAGGTAAAGAGGAGAACAGCGTTGATAATGACGTCTGCTTTCAGCACGTACGTTTGCCACACCAGGAAATACACAGACAGGAGCACACTTCCAACTGTGATCACAAGACTGAGCCCTAACGGAGCCTCCTCTTCTGTCAGGTTACCCTTTGAACCTTGAAGGAAACAAAAAGCTGGTATGAGTCTTTGATTTCTTCTGACAATATCACAAATCATAAGTCTAGAGTATTCCTGCTCAATAAAAGCTTTAGTTCTTACAGCTCAGGGTACACTGAGACACTGGCCTGAATCAAGGCTCTGTCAGTAAAAGGAAGAACAAACCCAACCACCGATGGACAATCGGTGACTGAAGTTACTCTAAATTAAGAGCAATCAGTTGACTCTCAAAGTCACAACACCCACCTTTTCTTACCACCAATAATCAGCTCTGAAGCTGCAGCCATTCTGATCACTCAGCTTCTTAGTCAGCCGTCAAACTTCCCCCAGCCCCCTCCAGCCCCACACAAGCACGACAGCGACAGCGTGCTGCCCGGGGTGCACATCCAACAGCATCCAATCCTGCTCCTACCATCCCTCTGTATTCCCTGCTAACCCATTCCCACGTCAGATCACCATCACTGGGGAGAAGCTGCACTTATCTCTTCCTCACATCTTATTCCAAGCTAGTCTCAGCAGATTTTGTTGTTGAACTACATTAGACTTGAAATTTGCTTCTTTATTCATCCATCAGGCTCCAAGCAAACATATGCAGAGAGCTTGAAGGCAACAGGCTAAATTCACCCCTACAGCAAGTCAGCTGAATCTGAGAGACTCACTCTGCATAAAGGTTTGAGGAATATCGAGCACAGATCTTAATAGTAACTTGGGGTTGTTTTTTTAAAAAAAAAAAGGACTTTATGAAGTTTTAGCAAGCTCTGGACAGGGCTCAGGAGGCCCTTTATGCTCTTGGGTCTTAGTGAAATGAAGCTGTTGGAACTGGTGTGTGCCTTCAGGAGGAGCAGAGGGACAAGGTGTAGTTGCGGTGGCGGCCGTACGCTGCTCGGGGCCGTCCTCAGCATCACCCGTTCCACCAGGCTGCGGCCCTTTGGTTACTCGTGGACGTTGCTGGGGCAGTTGAAGGAGCTGTATCACCCCAGTGTGTTTCAACGTGTTCCTTCTCACAAGTCATACTCCCTGGTAAACAGCGTCCCAGCTGTCCCAGTTACACTGCTTTCTGCCAACCCAGCTACTGGGTTTTAATGGCATTATAGATAATATTTCATATAAGAGCAAATTTTGTTTGACCCTCTGGCCCAATCTATTGATCAGTCAGATAAAGTTTAATGACATAAATGAACAACAGTCTCTAAATACCTGCTACTCTGTTAAACTGGCATGTTTTACACACACTCAATTTCAAAATTATTAATGTTTTTAAAGATTATATTCCAGTGAAAAGGCACAGGGAGAAGGTGACGTACCCAGGTATAATCGCAGCACTTCAAGAATGGCCATAATGAAAAGCAAGGCAAGATCAGGAGCCAAAAAATCATCTGGATAACTGAAAACTTGACCTGTAGAATCACACAGGGTAAATCAGCCAGGAAAATAACAGCAGCTGTACCGACAAACCACGAGCACACAGCCCACCCCTGCGTTAGAACACCTGCGACTTACTTTTATAAACAATCATTGCAAGAGTCGCCAAGAAGTAAAAGATGTAATAAATCCCATTGATGTAGAAGAGAAGCTGTAGAGGAACAGATGACAGCTTGAACTGTGGTTAAGGATCTCTCCTGGCAGGGAGGTGGGATCCATTTCATAAAATCCCCACTTCCCAGGAACCTCCGAATATCCTGCTGTGCCTTTTGATACTAACTGGTTCAGCTATGGCTGGCCTGCTGGCTGGGGCTCAGAAAGTAACTCGAGGTTGTGAAATACCAAGGGTTAGGATAGAAGCTTGCTGGTTCAGGTTTGGCTGAAAAAAAACCAATAAAAATTGGTATGTCGTGGGGTATTTGTCAGCTGAAGGAACTGGGGGGTGTGTGTGCGTGTGTACACCTCCCCAAACAACTTCTGTACCTGTCAGCCAGCCTCCAGCGAGTTGGCAGAGGGCTGGCAGACTCCAGCACATCCAAATTCCTGTAAGATTTTGAAAATAGGTGGCTGTGTGAAGCAGACAGGCGCTATTTGTTCCTGCCCACATGACGGGGAGCCTGAAAGCTGCGCTCCCTCTTTGGGACGTGCCTGAGAGAGGCCACGAGCTCAACTTTGAGATGTAAATTCAGAAAGAACAGACTTGCTTAATTCACTGCTCACACAACCAACTGGTGGGTACCGTGAGATACTAGTTAGCACTAGTGATTTGTCTGTCTACGTGGATCTGCTGCCAAGGTATTTGAGAGCTCCACGATCTTTAATACATCCTCAGAACACCCCCGGAGGACAGGGAACACGGCACACGCTGTCGTATAAAAACAGGGAGAAATTACTTAGAGGCTCAGGCCAGATTCATCCCACCTGCAGCCATCCCAGTTCCCAGGCACACTGCCCGGAGTGAGACTGTGCCAGCTCCAGCTCTGACTGCAGCAGGAGCCAAAGTGCCAATGTACAGCAGGGACCTCACAGTTCAGTGTCTTACAGAGCCCACCCACCCCCAGGGATGGGCACGATTCCTCTACAGCAGGTCCACACATCCTGAAGGAATCATCTTCTCTCGAGACACAGCAGCATGTTACTAATGCAATACAGGAGACGTGTAGGACACCCTGGGGCTCACCACCACATGGAGAAGTGGGAATGTGGCTCCAAGAATCCAGAAAGTTTGGCTGTTCATACGTATTTTTGATAACCAAATGCCTTTCTTTGCCTTAAATGACACAATGTCACTTATCGAAGCAAAGATCAGTGCAGATCTCATTATTTCCACATCTGTCTTTCTGTACTCAAGATATTATTTATCCTCCACTCTCTCCCCCAGCCTGTCTCAAATCCTGAGTATCTCCAAGCTGGGACTTCATCCCTGGCATCTTTTACAGGAACTGCCCGTCCAGGTTCTGACCAGAGCATCCACCCACGCGCAGTGGGCGTATTCCAGCTCCCAGAGCAGCTCGTTTGATTCAAACACAACCAGGTTTTTGTGTTTTTCCAGTTGAAGGAAGGTGGAGCAAAAAATTACTAGATAGATTCTAAGCATGGAAATCTCTGAAGCCACAGGTGTCTCCTCTTAGGAGGTACTTAGATCTTGGCAGGAGTGAAGGTAGGGTGATTAACATGGGAGAAGAGGAAATGCTACTGAAAGCTGCTTTTCCTACCTCTTGTGGGCTGTGTCAGCTGTCTGGGAGGTGTCCTGCGTGGGGTTTGTGCCCAGCAGTCCACAAATCCAATTTTCAGCCTTGCTTCCTAAGGAAACCAGGGTGATGTGATCCCAAAAGGTGGCTGCCAGCCCTCTGTCAAGACTGCAGGGTGGGTTCAAGGGGTTTCTGCCTGAGCAGTACCCGATCAGGGAATAATCACAGCTCAACCCCAGCTAATGCTGCAGGAAACATCTTCCCTGGGAGGAACCATTTTACCAGTTCTGCTTCATAAGGATGGTGCTGGTGACGGAAAAGTCAGTCACACTGTGCAGGTTTATTGGGCAGGAAGATGTGAATGTGCTCCAGCCAGTCTTCCTGAACATCCCCACACCTGAGGGGTGACAGGTACAAAAAGGATACAACTGTTGAAGTTCTTCCTTTCCCTGGAGGAGGAAAACATAAAGAGAAGAAAGTCAGTCTAAATATTTACCCAAAGTGCTGCAGAGCCCTGCAAACTGCTGATGTTACCAGAGAGGTCCAGCACACTTGTAGAACTGTTTTTTTCCAGTTCACTGGAAGATTTCCTGTTTTCTCAGTTCATGCAGTTCAGGTTCCAAAAATAACTTTTTCAAATACTAAAATAATTTGGGGGAGGTCCCTGTTGGCAAAAGTCACTTTCACTGAGGAACCTTTCTCTTTCAAAACACAGAGCAGTACACAGGCATTACCTAGAACCTGTCTGTCCTGTCCTTTCACAGCAGATGACACCTCATCCCTCTAACGATGCAGGAAAAAGGGAAACGTGCAGGAGAGGCTGAGTGGACTGTACCAGCTGGTTTTAAATGGTGAGGAAGCGTTCAGGGAGAGCACAGGGCTCCCTGGTTCCAATAAGTAACCCCCTTCCAAACCAGTTCCCCTCAAAAGCAAAGTCACTCCCTGTAATGATTATTCTGTGTAGTTCTAGGTATTCTGTGGTTGGACTCAGTTGATCTGAAAGGTCTTTTCCAACCACTATGATTCTGTAAAACCCGAGTGTGTTCTGATCACCCACAGAAATCACACCCAGGATTTCCCACAAGCCAACCCATACATTTTACTTCTTTTTTTTCAGCAAAAACACAGCTGGAATTCCCTTGCAGCACGATGGCACTGACCCACTAAAGTACCTCTTCAGTAACTCATTAATATTCTTCACCTCATCCAGACAGATGAGGAATTGAAAAATTACAATCTCTGTTTCCCAGAGAGCAGAACTGTGAGAGGCCATTTCACCCATCTTCTGAGAGACAGCTCGTTGTCATCACATCAGTGGGACATCCCCACCTCCATCCTCGGGCTTCTCGGGGGTTCATGTCCTCATCACCTCCTAGTTTTATGCAGTTGGACCCAAATGAATCCCCACTAATTTTAGACACCTAATTAAGGTATCCACTTTGGGAATGCAGGGGAAGCAGGCAAGCCATGTTAGAGGGTGATTCATGCTGTCGCCTCCCGGACTCCTCTCTGCTTTCTGCAGAGACTGTAGGCTCTGAACAGACCCGTCCCGGCACGCAGCCAACGTGCATTTTCATAAATGCTTTATTTTTGTTTGTTTTTTTGCAGAATGGGAGTTAAAGGTTTCCTTACACATCGTGTTCTGCTGTGACTCACAGTAAAAGGTGTGTTTGTATTCACCGCTCCGGTAGAAAACCTCACGCACAAGTAAGGCCTCGTGTGGGGATGATGCGCTTCCCTTCTCTCACAGCAATTAAGGAGATGTCTCCAGTTTACATTTTAGACTGTCAATTAGGATGTTAATTAGAAATACCACAACTGCACGACATGTGCAGACAGGTTATTGCTCCACAAGTGTCCGGATATGGGTTTTTCCCCGTCGTGCTGGTGGTGTCATTGCTCTGGTTTTACCCCACGGCAGCTCCCGGTGAATTCCCTCACGGCAGCTCCTCAGCTTTATTTTTAATATATATATATATATTTTAAATCACTTTCCACAAGAGGGCACTGACCACATTCCTGCATCTCTTCCAAGAAGGGGTTTGACAGCCACTGTTATTCCCTGAGTGCCAGGGGCCATTGAAACACTGGAACCCCACAACCCGCCTGTGCGGGGGATCAATCCTGCGGGGCCGGGGTCACCCTGGTGCCAGGGGGACAGAGAATTCCAGGTGGAACAGCAGGCTGCCCACCCATCCCCACACCCTGAGAGCATCCCACTGCTCGGATCAGTGAACTCTGCATTGCTGTGGGGGGTTTAAATGGAAAGGGAATGTTCTGGTACAGGGAAAGGGAAAAAAAAGGCATAATAAGGATTTTGGAGCGTTTCTGCGGAGCACACAGAGTGCCAGCGTTCTGCCCAGGGGGCTGCAGGTAAGTGCTTTATGCACTATTGATTTTCGAATTGCTGATCAGTGATGCTGTGTGTGCTGACTTGAAGTAGAAAACAGCCCGTTTTCTAAAAACCTGGGGTTTTCAATGCCAGTCAGACACTGTTTTGAGGACTTTGG